GCAGACTGAGGCTGAGGCTGAAGCAGGCTGAGGCTGAGGCTGAGGCAGGCTGAGGCTGAGGCTGAGGCTGAGGCTGAGGCAGGCTGAGGCTGAGGCTGAGGAGGCTGATGCAGGCTGAGGCTGAGGCTGAGGCTGAGGCTGAGGCAGGCTGAGCTGAGGCAGGCTGAGGCTGAGGAGGCTGAGGCTGAGGCTGAGGCAGGCTGAGGCTGAGGCTGAGGAGGCTGAGGCAGGCTGAGGAGGCTGAGGCTGAGGCTGAGGCAGGCTGAGGCTGAGGCAGGCTGAGGCTGAGGCCGAGGCTGAAGGCAGACTGAGGCTGAGGCTGAAGCAGGCTGAGGCTGAGGCTGAGGCAGGCTGAGGCTGAGGCTGAGGCAGGCTGATGCTGAGGCAGGCTGAGGCTGAGGCTGAGGCTGATGCAGGCTGAGGCTGAGGCAGGCTGAGGCTGAGGCCGAGGCTGAAGGCAGACTGAGGCTGAGGCTGAAGCAGGCTGAGGCTGAGGCTGAGGCAGGCTGAGGCTGAGGCTGAGGCAGGCTGATGCTGAGGCAGGCTGAGGCTGAGGCTGAGGCTGATGCAGGCTGAGGCTGAGGCAGCCTGAGGCTGAGGCCGAGGCTGAAGGCAGACTGAGGCTGAGGCTGAAGCAGGCTGAGGCTGAGGCTGAGGCAGGCTGAGGCTGAGGCTGAGGCAGGCTGATGCTGAGGCAGGCTGAGGCTGAGGCTGAGGCTGATGCAGGCTGAGGCTGAGGCAGGCTGAGGCTGAGGCCGAGGCTGAAGGCAGACTGAGGCTGAGGCTGAAGCAGGCTGAGGCTGAGGCTCAGGCAGGCTGAGGCTGAGGCTGAGGCTGAGGCTGAGGCTGAGGCTGAGGCTGAGGCTGAGGCCGAGGCTGAAGGCTGAGGCTGAGGCTGAGGCAGGCTGAGGCTGAGGCTGAGGCTGAGGCTGAGGCTGAGGCTGAGGCTGAGGCTGAGGCAGGCTGAGGCTGAGGCTGAGGCAGGCTGAGGCTGAGGCTGAGGCTGAGGCTGCTGAGGCAGGCTGAGGCTGAGGCTGAGGCTGATGCAGGCTGAGGCTGAGGCAGGCTGAGGCCGAGGCTGAAGGCAGACTGAGGCTGAGGCTGAAGCAGGCTGAGGCTGAGGCAGAGGCAGGCTGAGGCTGAGGCTGAGGCAGGCTGATGCTGAGGCAGGCTGAGGCTGAGGCTGAGGCTGAGGCAGGGTGAGGCTGAGGCAGGCTGAGGCTGAGGCCGAGGCTGAAGGCAGACTGAGGCTGAGGCTGAAGCAGGCTGAGGCTGAGGCTGAGGCAGGCTGAGGCTGAGGCAGGCTGAGGCTGAGGCTGAGGCAGGCTGAGGCTGAGGCTGTGACTGCGACTACCGTTGCCACTGCGACTGTCATCGCGAATGCGACTACGACTGCGAGAACAGCAGAATTCTACAACTGGATTCTCATCTGAATCTTAAGGGGAATGCTTCCAAATATGCTCCTACACATCGCTGTTAGGTTGCGTTGTCGGGATAAGTTTCAATACCACCCTCCCCACCGATCCCTTCCTATTCTCTCTCTCTCTCTCTCTCGCGTTCTCTCTTTCTCTCTCTCTCTCTCCCTCACACCCACTCTCTCTCCCTCTCTCCTCCTCCCCCTCTGTGGTGAGGATTCCTGCTGTGAGGATTTCCGTTAGAATCCCGCAAAGGATTCCTGCTGTGAGGCTCTCCATTTGAATCCCTTTTGTGGCGCTTTCCAACGCGTTTCTGTTGTGAGGCCTTACAATCCGTTTTGGGGTGTTTCCCAAAAGGGTTCCGATTGTGAGGCTTTGCCGTGGAAGCCCTCAGCGGTGCTTCCCAGAGGATTCCGACTGTGAGGCGCTCCACAAGAATCCCTCTGCAGCGCTTCCCCAAAAAACCTGGTGAGAAGCTTTGCAATCGAATTCCTCTGTGGTGCTTTTCAAAGGGTTCCGATTGTGAGGCGTTCCAACGGAACTCCTTTGTTTTGCTTTCCAAAGGGTTCTGGGGCTTTCCCATGAAAACCCTCTGTGGTGCTTTCCAAGGGATTCCGATTGTGAGGCTTTCAATCGAATTCCTTTGGGGTACGCTTCAAAGGAATCTGGTTGAGACGCTTTACAATCGAATTCCTCTGTGGTGCTATCTGACGGATTTCTATTGAAAGGCTTTCTAATGCAACTCCTTTGTGCTGCTTTCCAACAGGATCCTGTCGTGCGGCTTTCCTATATCATTCCTCTGTGGTGGTTTCCACAAGGACTCCGATTGTGAGGCTTTCCACTAGAATCCTCCCTCTGCGGCGCTTTCCAAAAAGGATTCCCGTTGTGAGGCTTTCCAATCGAATCCCTCTGTTGTGGTTTGCAAAAGAATCCTGTTGAGAGGCTTTCCAATGAAACCCGTTTGTGGTGTTTTTCACAGAGTTCCTGTTGTGAGGCTTTCCCATCGAATCACTCTGCTGCGCTTTCCAAACCGTTTCCGAATGTGAGGCTTTCCGACGGAAGCCCATTTTGGAGCTTTCCAAAGGATTCCATGTGTGACGCTTTCGAATAGGAGGCATTTGTAGCATTTTCCGAAGTGTTCCTGTTGTAAGGCTTTCCAATCGAATCCCTCTGTGGTGCTTTCCCAAAGTCCATGTTGCGAGGCTATCCAATTGAATCCCATGGGGGTCCTTTCCAAATAGATTCTGTTGAGAGGCTTTACAATCGAATCCCCGCGTGGTGCTTTCCAAAAGGGGGGTGGACAGGAGAGAGGGGGGGGGGGACAGGAGAGAGGGGGAGGGGGAGGGGAAAGGAGGGGAGAGGAGAAAGGGGGGGGGAGGAGAGAAGAGGGGGGTTAGGGGGGGGGCCGGTATCATCACAATCCCCATCACCATCACCATCACCATCGCCACATCACCATCATCATCATCATCCGGAGCGCCCCGGATCGGCGGCACTGGCCGAAGGCCACTACAATAGATCCTGTTGCGAGGCTCTACAATAGAAAATCCCCGCGTGGTGCTTTCCAAAAGATTCTGATCGTAAGGTTTTCCCATAGAATCCCTTTGTGGTGCTTTCCAAAGGAATCCTGATGTGAGGCTTTCCTAGGGAATCCCTCTGTGGGGCTTTCCAAAGGATTCCTGTTGAGAGGCTTTCCACTAGAATCCCTCTGTGGTGCTTTCCAAAAGATTCCGCTTGTGAGGCTTTGCATTGGAATCGCTCTGCGGTGCTCTCCAAAGGAATCCTGCTGAGAGGCTGTCCAATGGAACGTCTTCGTGTTTTTTCGTTTCTTTCATACATATATGTACATATATCTATATATGTATGAAAAGGGTTCCTGTTGTGAGATTTTCAAATGGAACCCTGGAACCCCTTTTGTGGTGCTTTCCAAAGGGTTCCGATTGTAAGAAGGAGAGAAAGAGAGAAAGAGAGAGAGAGAGACAGAGAGAGACAGAGAGAAGCGAGGACACATACCTGAAGGCAAAAACGGTAAAAATGTAGGAGAGGAGAAGGATGAGGATAACGGCAGGAATCATAATAATGGGGAGGAGACGGAGAATGATGCGGCGAATGAAGAGAATGGGGAGAAAGATAAGGATGAATATTGATGGGAATGGTGAGGATGAGGCAAATGAGGAGGAGACATATACTGAGGAATAATGTGGAGAATGGGGAGGAGGATGAGGATGATGAGAACGAGGAGGACGGGGAAAAGGATGAGGGGGCGAATGAAGAGGAAGAGGGTACGAGAGGAGGCGAAAGGTATGATGACAGGGGGGCGAGCACATACACACACATATATAAGTAGTCACGTATACGCATACATAAACACAAATCGACACACGTAAAATATACAAGCTCGTGTGCGGATAAGCGCGCCTGTGGAATAATAGCCGACAACGGAAGTCCAAGCAAAAGTGAGGAAACGCCATGTGCAAACCGTGGCTGGAGCAATGGCCAGTTCGTGTGAATGGCGAGACACCCATACAGTCACAGTCAACCCTGTCTGGAGAGAGGCCAATTACGATCTTGAACCTGCTGTCTAAACAATCGGCATTCGCCATGCCAAGGTTTCGCCCCTCTTCTCTTCATGCTCGCAACTCCCGCGCCATGTCTGGCAGATGCGACAACTCACAAACCTCTCTGCCCAATATCTGAACCCACATCAAACGTCGTGATTTTGCATGGCGTGGCCTCACCGAGCTCTCGAACCCATCCCTGGGACTGGTCTCTCGCCGCGGGCAGCAGCCAGGAACTCGTGACAACGAAAGCCAGCGGGACCAGGGGCGGCGACCAGGAAATCGCGACAACGATGGCAAGCGTGACCGTGGACCTCCAGGACGGCAACCAGGAACTCGCAACAACAGGAGCCAGTGGGACCTGTGAGTCCTGGGGCATGGGCGGCAGCCAGGACATCGCGCAAACCAGCGTCAGCGGTGACATGAATTCCATGTTCAGCGACAGCGAGCTTGCGCCAACGATGGCACATGTCTCTCGAGACAAACGATCTCCTCAGAGTGCAAGCGTGTCGGGAAAGCAACGCGTCCGTTGTGACTTCTGATCAGGGCGCCAAAGAGTCTCACTTGTCCGCCCGAGCTGGTCGACAGGTGAGGAGCGCCTCGGGGCCCTGAGGGTCTCCGAGGGCCTCGGACATCTGACCGAGCCCCTGTGAAAGCCTCCGAACCCAGACCCCCGACGTCATGCTTGTTTCCAGCAGCCGTGAGTGCTTCCAGACGCGCGAGGGGGTCTAGAAGGCCCCCGAAAGCCTCCGAGAGGCTTCCGAAGAGCGCGCCAGCAGGTCCGCGCGCTGCCGCGCCAGCCCGCCCGTATCACAAACCATTCTGTCGAATCGGCTCCCAAGCCTGAACGTAGCCCACAGATGGCCGGTCGGCGCATTCGTGCCGCCGTCTTGAAGCTCTCGTCCAGCTCTAGCTGGTGAAATGGGCCTCGACCTCACAGGGGGGCGAAGCGGACAGCAAAATGGTGAGGGAAGGGTCTGCCTCCCCCCCCTCCCCCGCCCCCCTCTCCCCCGTTGGGGGGCGGCGCCGCGCTCGGCACCGCCAGGCTGGCGGAGGCGACCTGCAGCACACCCTGGCGCCTGGAAGGGGGCCGCGGGAAGAGGGGCGTCGGCTACACGCAGGAGCGGCCCTAGGCAAGAGCGACCTCTGGGACACGGTTTGGGCGCTGATTCGTGGGAGGGTGGTGAACATGGGGGCGCAGGAACGTGAAGCTCTCTTGCCCCTCATGGACCCCAGGGGATCCTGGAGGGCCCCTTGGGGCACAGACAGGTGCATCTTTCTCCCTCCTTTTTCGGCCCCCCACCACGCTGCGCCGGGGGGGCGTGCAACCCCCAAACGCGCGAGCCCTCTACTACCGCATCGCAGTCAGAGATCGTAATTGCCCGCGCTTCCACTCTCTGTTTCATTCCTCTTGTGCGCGATTGCGGGCGCAATATTGACACATCGAGCTGGCCTTAAGGTGTTGCTTGGATGTCCCATCTACTCTTCCCCCTCCCTCCCCCCCCCAAAAAGGCCTCTGCCCTTCGTGCCAGATGTGGCTCCGCACACACGGCAACTCGCGCAGGGCGTCACCGGCTCCCTCGGCTGCGCGTGTGAGTTACTCGTCGCCAGAGTGGTCTTCGGTGCGGACCCGCTGGATTCCCCCGATCGCTGATTGCGATTCGGTTGCGGTGGCTTGCGCGCTCGGAGGCGGAAACGGGTCCACTGTGGTGAACTGGCGCCCGCCTCTGCTGTGAGGGGCCAGCTGGCGATTCTGAATTCTGGGTCGACGCTCCATCCTCCCCCCCCGATTGGCGGCGGGCTGAGGAGGCCCACTCCCAAAAAGCGAGAGGTTCCTTCAGAAAAAGATCGGCCCCTTCTTTGGGGACAACACGCACGGGTACTGGTAGAACGGGTCCTGCATACCCTGGGCCTTTCCACGCGACCGGCTTCGAATCCGAAGCTGTGTTATTGACGGCCTCAGGGCCCGGGAGGCCCCCCCGAGCCAGGCGAGAGTCGGCGGCGAGCGAGGGGGGAAAGCGAGAAGGGGCGGGCTTCCTCGGAACGCTCGGAAGTCCAACGGCCTTCTGAGAGGTCTTCTGAGCCTTCCCCGAAGACACAGACAACCTTTCAGAAGGCGCGATGGCTTATGAGAAGTCTGGCCCCTTCTGAGAAGGCCTTCTTCTTCTCGCTTCCCCTCCTCGCTCGCCGCCGAGAGAGGGAAAGAGAGAGGGAGAGAGCGCTGCCAGCGACATGGGGAGACCATACAAGACCCCTCTCCTAAAGGACCACTGTTCTCCTCCTTCTTAGCGATACACACCTGTGCAGCTCTCGCCCATGTTGGCACCTGAGAGCATCAGATGTCTGGCAGGGGGTCAGAAACCCTACGAGAGCCTCGATCCCCGATCTGGACCCAGGTATCCGGCGCTTCGATTTGTTCTATGCATGGGCCTCTGGACCTCTCGACCCTTTCCCTGGGGCTGGTTTTCATCCTGCATCGTTGTTTGACGGCCACGGAGACCGGCGAGGGAACGCGCGGGCCAGAACAAATGATAAGAACTGCCGTGCAGTCATCGTGCTTCCGTGAAGAACATTGAACACGAAGGGAGCAGGCTTTCGTGGCCGCGTCGTGCTTCTGCCACGTTCGGTTCCCCGAACTACAACCTACGTAAAGAACGGGCCGAAAGCCAGAGCGCCCCCAAGTCCCTCCTGAGCGTAGACCTATCTCAGCGGCGTGTTGACTGTACCTTTCCACGGCAGCCCGCAGGTACTTCCAAGTACTCTTCCAGGGTGGCCCGAAGGTACCTACTTGGGGCCTGTCCTGGGCAGCCCGACAGTACCTCCAAGTACCTCCTGGGCAGCCAGAGAGCATCTCCAAGTACCTTTGCTTGGCACCCCGAAGATAATTACCGCCGAATGCAATTATATTTGATTCCAATCAGTTGGACGTCTGGGTCGATCATCAGCCTCGACGACGGCAGGCCGCGCGCCGCTTCTGCGGAGGCGCCTGCCGTGGCCTGGGGGCGCCGCGACGCGCGGGGTGCCCCGCAGCGGGCGGAGCGCGGCGCTGGCGGGGCCCGCCGGCAGCGCCTCCGGTGCGGCCCGCACGCCCGGGCACGACGAGGCGGCGGCCGGGGGGTCCCCTCCCTTGGATGCGAGATCATGGTGCCGCACGTTCCCCGGGCAGTGCTTGCACTCAGGGGTTCTTGCTTGTCTTCTGAAGAGCTGGGCTCGTTTGTCGGGTCCGCCGCCTTATTGCTGCCGTCGCCGCCCCGTCGCCGCCTCGTCACCGCCCGCCGTCTGGGCTCGTTTGTCGGCTCCGCCGCCTTCGTGCCGCCATTGCCACCTCGTCGCCGCCTCGTCGCCGCCCGTGGCCGCCGCCCCGTTGCACCCACCCCCCCGCCCCCGTGGCAATCCGATCGACTGCAATCCAATCGATTGCGGTCCAATCGATTGCGGTCCAATCGATTGAAATCAATAGACTGCTCCACGTAGATTGCACAACGTAGCTGGGACCACATAGGTTGCACCACGTAGACTGCTCCACATACATTACACCAAATAGACTGCACAACCCGTGTTGCACCACATTGGTTGTACAACAGAGGTTGCTCAAACTATGTTGCACTTCGTATATTCCACAATGTATATTATCTTCTTCTTTTTATATTAAATAAGACCCCCACCCCCCCAACCGGCTTTATTGGTCCACCTCTTTCGTAGTGCAATTTACACACGATTCTGCCGCATCGCCCATCCTAAATATGATATATGAAGTCGCACAATCCCATCCAGGCCGGTGTCGGGCCCCCCATCCCCGCGTCATCCTCTTCCCACCAACAAAGGTATACGCGCACATTCGTTCATCAAAAACCATCGGCGTTCAAAAACTTTGCAACAAATAGTTGGCGAAGTGCGCACGCGCGCGTCGTCGCGCGCGCATGCCGAAGTCCTTCAAAAAACTTCGCTTTCGGCGGGTTTTACCACGAGTGCCCAGCAAACATAAAAGCATGGTTTCGCAACACGGATGTTCGAAAACAGCGTGCGCGCACTCTTGTGTAATGTTTTAACACAAAAACATAGGTGTTTAAAACAGTATCATAAATTACTACCGAACGGGCTTCGCGCGCGCATGTCGAAATCGTTCAAACGCCTTTGCGCGCGTGCCGTCGCGAGAACCCTTTTATAAAAAACCGAAATGCGCGTCGTCGCGCGCGCATGCCGACATCATTCAAAAACCGTCGACTTCGTAACGATTTCAAAACCGAACGTCCGAACAGCATTCAAAACCACCAGGTTTCGCAACATCAGTTTTCAAAAAAAGCTTGCGCGCGCGCCCTTGCGAATTCTTGAGAAAACCATCGGTTTTTTAACATCTTCATGGAATTCTGCCAAACGGGCCTGTGGCGCCGCATGCCGACATTATTCGCACGCCCTTGCGCGCGTGCTGGGGGGGCACGATCGTCGTCGAATTCGCCGGCCCAACGGGCCAGAGGCGTGCTAAGATCTCCAGCAACTGGTTAACAATATTTCTAGTTCGCGCGCGCGGAGCGGCCCCTGGGGGCCCCCAGACGAAAAGTACCCCGGCAAGGTCCCGGGAGAAACCACCAGAGCACTCCAGGGGATGGCAATTTTTCTACACCCCTCACGAGGATCATGGCCTCCGAGGGGGAAGCCGCAATCGACAACCTCCCCTCCCGCCCCAAGAAGCCCCCCAAAGCCCCCCAAGAGGCCCTGGTGGCCCCCAAGACGCCGCCAAGGAGCCCCAAGAGACTCCCAAGAGGTCCCCAAGAGGCCCCCAAGAGGCCCTGAAGAGGGCTCCAGGGCCGGCGGAATGAGCGAAGCGACTAAATAAAACCATGCGGGCCACTCTCGCGCGTCGGCCGCGCGTGCATGACGAACCCTGTCCAAAACCTGCATACCGACGCGACGACGCCGTCATCGTTGCAGGCGCGATCAGCATCGGCGCCCGCACTGGCCACGCCTTCGTCGGTGCGAACATCGCCACCAGCATCGCCACTATCATCATCGCATCTAAAAACATAGCCTGCTCGACATTGGCTACTCCAAATATATTTCCAGAAACACACTGTTTGGAGTCGACGATGGCTGACATATGCCGTTGTTTCTTGATTGTAGAAAAGCGCATCCAAGGTTGTAAACATCCACGTGCCCATGATCGTAAACAAACATGTGCACATAACACTATGCGACGGTCGAGGTTTGAGGATATGTTCTGGGGGGCGGCATACTACATGGGCACAAAACCCCCATTAATCCTCTACCTCCCTCCTTGTATTCAAACACGCCTCATCATCATCAACATGGCGGCCCTCCTCCATGCTCTTCATCCGATGAACATCGTGCTGCTCCTCCTCCTCCTCCACGCAATCCTTCTCATCCTCAATCTCCTCGTCCAAGGGACGCGTGTCTCATCAACCGCATAGAAAAACACGCATTGAACGTGCGCCCCCCCACAGAAAAACGACGGCTACCGTGCTGGTCGCGGGCCAGCGGGGTGCGGCTGGGCCAAGGTCGTGCCTGTCACGTGGTCGGCGATCACTTAAATAAGGATCTCTGGTCATGGTCCTCACGTGGATAATCCCGCATGACGAAGATGCACACTGCCGCGGCACCGCGTCACCTCATATTGCGAAGCCGAGGAACCAAAGGGACCGATCGGCAACAGCCGTGTTGCTCAGCAAGCGATCCTGTCCCGAGACACCCCCCACACTACCCACTCCGGGCTGCACTCCATGTCCATCCCTGTGATGCGTACCTTCATCAGTGACTCAATGACCACTTGGTCGTCAGCGTATGTCAGAAAAAACGCAGAGGGACGATCAATCGGTCATATCCTCCTGCCCACACTAATCTAACACAATCTGAATCCTGGTGACGAATCCCCCATGCGCTTACAACCTCGGGCTCAACTTGATCACCAGAGCCCCCCCCTGCTCACACGAGCCACTAACATTAACGATCTGGTTCTTGAGCATCACTGCTTGAGCTTGCTTGCGTCTCACACCCTCTCATGCAGCTCCATGTGTAATCGTGGGGACCCCGTGACAGCCAACCACACCTTGCTCTTCTGTGCGACCTCTGTCTGCAACTTCCGCCAAGGGACCCCCTTAAGAGTCAGGGGCCTGGGGGACCCAGAGCCGCGAGTGGCCTCGGGAGCCTGCAAGTTGTCAACGAGCTCAACGCCTGCGAGCTCAGGGCTCACACGGCCGGACCCCCTCCAGACTGCCCCACGCCATCACGGAGGCAGCGGCCGGTGGGGTTCGGCACCGCCCGCCGCTGCGCTGCTACGCCGGCCGCCGCCAGCAGGCCACCGATAGCGGCGCGGGCGGCGCGGGGGAAGGCCCTGCGGGGGGTCGATCCACAGGCAACAAAGGAGCTAGCTTGGGCTCTGCCGCTGCTCTCGTTCCCGCGATCCTGGGCCCTGGGGCGCCTCTTCCGCCGCCGCCTCCTCCTCCTCCTCCTCCTCCTCTTCATCCTCAGGGTTCCCTGTGCCTTGTCAGTCCTCGTCGTCATCCCAACGGTTATTGACGTCTCCATCATTTTCGCCCGCGTCGTGGTGGCTAGCTGGCGCGCAGGATTGTAGGGTATGGGAAAGCTCTACCTCCCAGACTTTCTGAACGGGGGGGCTCGACCAACCTCACACCTCACCCCCTCGAACGACCGCCGGGAACTCCATGGGATTACACAAGCCAAGAAAACCAGATTGGGCAACTACGACAAACAAGGATGACGACTTCGATGTAGACGGCGAGGGAAGATGCCGGCAGATTGTGAATAACGACAGCAATGGCATTTGGGCTGGGGGCGACACATCAACCATTGCTGGGAGTGCTGCGCGCGACGCCGACTGTGCAAAGGGGGGACACGCGAATGATGAGGACAATGGTGAAAATAAAAACAAATGCGCTGACGAGGACGCGTAGGGAATATCACATTCACCCGCGCGCGTGCTACATTCACGGGATGCTGCAACATAGCCTGCAAATTAACTTTGGCCGGATGCGTTCGAGCCACAGCCGTGGAAGACTGGGTATTGGACAGGCAATGACGAGCGAGAAGCCTTCTCTCTCACACACGCGTTAACACGCATGCACATACATGATGCTTTGCGTCCGCGGCCTGGCGGTTACCTAGGCAGGTGGTCCCGTCGCATGGGCCAGTGCGAGCGGAATGACAAGAACGACAGATCGCTGAAGGCTTCAGGCGATCCAAACAAGTCGTAGAACAGGTACGGTACGAGCGCGCGTGTACGCACACGCACACATGTACACACACTTTTTGGTGTCGCAGCCCCGCGCACGACGACGGGGCGTGGAAAGTCGAGTGCAAGCAGCGGAACGCGCGCGTCTACGCCCGACATGCACACACACAGACCTTTAGGGCCAGCGGCCTTGTGAGTAGTAGCCATCCAAGCGATGACGATTCACAGGTCGGGCCGACGCAAGCTAAACCTGTTCTGAGTGGACACGGCACGAACCAACACCCACGCATTCTCGGGAGCAAAACGTCGCGCACGGATGGGGGAGACGCCCGAGCAGACATGCACAATGCAGGACATGCGAAGAGCGTTACACGGTGTCATGCCCACGCAAACGCAACCGGGAACGCGGAGCAAGGGCAGCGGCATCTGCCCACGTCGCTGATGAAAAGAGCAGACGGTCGATCGCGAGGGTGTTTTCGGCGAGAGCAAGATCTTGAAAACTACCAGTCATCCGTCCACGCAGCGATTTATCGAGTTTCCCAAGATATCACCTTAAGGGTTCCATCTACCTTAAGGATTCCACAAGGTTTGACGAGCATCTCGAGCGAGCGTGCCCAAAACGGCGAGCCGAACTTAAAGCCAGCAACGTGCCAAGTACTTCTGCTATAGCTGGGATGGCGAATTTGACAGAACCCAGAATGCGAGGAAATCTCAGGCAAGAGCGCAAATCCCACCAACCCTGTAGTGCCTAGGTGATTTCGAGCGCTATTGCGTCCAGCCCCTTCGTCGCTTTCGCGGAAAGATACATCAATTCACCACCGCCCCTTATGTATTTATATATATGTAATGAATAAAGAAAAAATTCGTTGTACGCATAGTTAAATATGAACATGATATACAGAGAGAGAGAGAGAGAGAGCGAGAGCGCGATCCACCACCGCTTACTGTGGAAAATTCCCCCCCTCTTCCTCTGGAGCCCAGGGGTCCCCCCCCCTCCGAAATTCCCCCCCCCCCCCCCCTGCTTGAACCCCTCGCCCCCCCCCCCCCCCTCCCTTCCCCCGGCAAAACCCCCATTCCCCCTAACCCATCCCCCCTCCCCCCTCCGGAAAACGGGGGGGGGGGGACCACTACCGGTTCGAACCCCCCCCACCCTCCAGAAATCCAGAGGGGTCACTACCCGTTCGAACCCTCCCCCCCCCCAGACACTCACCGCTGGCAAACGGCTCCTGGGTCCCCACCACCGTCCTCACCACCGCCCTGCCCTCACCCGCTGCTCTGTTCCCACCTCTGTCCCCACTGTCCCCGCCAATCCCCCCACCACTGTCGCACTGTCCTCAGTGTCCCCACAGCTGTTCCCACCACGGTCCCACTTTCCCCACTGTCCCCGCTGCCCGACGCACTGTCACACTGTCCCCACTGTCCCACCCATTGTTCACTGTCCCCACCACTGTCCCCGCCGCTGTTCCACTGAGCTGTCCCACTGTTCCCACCACTGCTCCCACTGTCCCCACCACTGTCCCCACTGTATAACTGTCCCATTGTCCCATTGTCCCACCACCGTCCTCACCACCGCCCTCACCACTGTCCCCACCAACACCGTCCCCATCACTGTCCCACTGACCCCACCACTGTCCCACTGTCCCCACACCACTGTCCCCACCACCACCGCCCCCACCACTGTCCCACTGTCCCCACCTCTGTCCCACTGTCTCCCCTGTTCCCACCATTGTCCCCACTGTTCCCACCAGTGCCCTCACCACTGTCGCACTGTCCCCGCCGTCCCCACCACTGTCCCACTGTCCCCACTGTCCCCACCACTGTCCCACTGACCCTAGTGTCCCCATCGCTGTCTCACTGTGCTGTCGCACTGTCCCCACTGTCCCCGCCACTGTCCCACTGTCCCCACCAGTATCCCAACTGTACCACTGTCCCATTGCCACACCACCGTCTTCACCACCGCCATCACCACAGTCCCCACCACTACCGTCCCCACCACTGTCCCACTGTCCCCACTGTCCCCGCCACTGTTCCACTGTCCCCTCACCAGTATCCCCACCACCACCGTCCCCACCAATGTCGAACTGGCCCCATCACTGTCCCACTGTCCCTACACCACTGTCCTCACCACCACCACCGTCCCCCCCACTGCCCCAATGTCCCCACCACTGGCCCACTGTCCCGAGAAGCGGGAATCGTTTGCCGGCGGCGGGATGGGGGGGTCGGCCCGGTAAGGACCCCCCCCCTTTCATGATGGACTGGGGGGGGGGGAAGGGGGGGTTCGAACAGGTAGTGCCCCCCCCTGGTTTTCGAGGGAGGGGGGGGACGGGTTGGGACCCCCCAGTGACCCCCCCCCTGGTTTTCCGCCAGCAGCGGTAGAACACGCTCTTTCACACACGTATCAATATAGATAGATGATCCACTCCGCGATCTGACCAGGGACAAAGCCAGAACCATGACGACCCCCCCGCAACCGTACGCCCTTTGCTGCAAAGTCTGTATCATGCTCGGGCTTAAAGCCATTACTTTATGTTTTTTGGTTGTCTGGGAAGCTAAGGGGGATGCCAGCACGTTTCCTGCTGCGCGCAGGCCCACACTACCCCATGCTGAGACTCGGGCACCACTTGTGTGGCGGGAGGGCCGGCCGGATTGAGCGAGACGGCCGTCCTTCTGGTGGGGTAGCTTGATCTCTGTTCGCTGTGCATGCAGAAGCATCCCCTCCCCCACAAGACTGGCAACAAACCGGGTGCAATGCCACCCCCCAAAGCAGCAGTGACAAACACACAACAATACACTGTGCCCCAAACTTTGGCCCATGTTCGGCGGCCCGGGAGAACTGTGCACGATTTTTTGACAGGGGCGGCCGGGGTGGCATCATATTGCCAGGCGTGTGCAGGCCACCGCCCATGCCGAAAACAAATCCAACGTGCACGTTGAGGCAAAAGTTCGACCTTGCACGGGCGCCCCACGATCAGTATGCTTTGTTAGATGGCACTGGTGATGGAATTGCCCTGGCGCGCACGCGCGGCGCACCTCGTAAGCGTCGCGTTTCTGGCTTTCGTCTGCATTGGTTCTCGATGCTTGTCAATGGCGGCCACTGCCTTGGCTAAGACCCGTGTGCCATTTCTATGGCGGGAGGGCTGATGTGTAGTGCTTATGCTTATGTGGTGGAAGGGCCGGTGGGGGTGAGCGACACAGCCGTCCACCAGAGAGGAAGCATTGAGGACGCAAGGTGGGGGGGGGGGGCTGGCAAGAGGACGAGGAGGCGAGTGAGGAGGAGGAGTGTACGACCATGACCGGAGTCCGCGAGCATGCCCTGGACGCGGCATTCGTTCATCGAACACCACCAAAGCCCAAAGCAACACATTGGCGCCCGACTCGAGCACTCCTGTAAGGCAGGCAGCTGCGACCGAGCAGCTGCGACGACGTGGACAGTGCTGGCGTCATAGATGGAGCCGCTGGAACGACTGCAGCAGGGCTGCAGGCTGCGACCAGCCACTGCCCTCCCTCTTCCTCGAAGAACCACGACGGCCAGCTCAGCTCATCAACATTTGGGGACGTGGGAACTCAATTTGGGTTCATGGGCATGCAGTTACCTGCCCGGATTTAGATACTCATGCCAGCGGTGATGAAACGAATGACATCGGCTACGAAAAGGAGAAAGAAACACATCGTACGAGATGAGGATGATGGGGATGATGGAGCAATACAGAAGGATAGCAAAGTTATCTTGGAAAAACTGCTTTGATAATTACAAAGGGGGGCTTCAACGATGGCCTGCATCTTTGAACGATGACCGAAACGCTCGACGATGTGTTTTTTTGTCCGATCTGCGGGCCCCGTGTAGCACAGGTCTGGACCCCTTCCCGGGGACGGGTTTCCATCCGGGATGCTGTTTCCAGAGGCCCGCAAACAGGCCCAACGAAACGCAAGGATTGAACACGATCACTCCACCGGAGTCGCCGGAGGTCTTCACATAACAACGGCAACCTGGCCGCGGGCACAGCGGCGACGTCGGCGGCCCAAACGGCCACGACGACGGCCACACCGACGACGGCATGGCGGCGACGGCCGCGGCCATGCCGGCGACGGCGGCGGCCACATCGGCCAAGACGACGGCCGCGGCGGCGACGGCGGCGGCAGCGGCGACGGTGGCCTCCGCCGGCCGCGGCTCCGCGCCGGCCCGGCCGAGCCCGCGGGCCCGGTGGGCGCCGCCAGGACCGCCATGAGGGCGGCGGGCACGACGGCGGCGGGGCCGGCCGTGGCCCCGGCGCTGTCCCTGCCCGCAGGTCCGGGCGTCGCAGCAGAGCTCGCGGCGGCCGGCCTCTCTGCGCGCGCTCGGCCGCTTCCCCGCTGCGGGGCTGTGAGGCAAGTTGCTCGGGATGAGAAGCTGTCCCCAAGGGGGGCGATCAGCATCGTGCAGCCGATCCCCACCTCCACTGGTACGGTCTTGGCCCCACTGGTGGGGACCGCGGGGCCTATCCCCACCCATGGGTGGGCTGGTGTGGCTGGAAATGCCGTGGCCCAGTCGGGGTGGGGATCGGTTACACAATGCTACAGGTAGACGCATGCTGTTAGAAACGAAGGAATACGCACGTGCGTAAACTGTCCGATGCCCTCGCAGATTCCTTGGAAGGGCGCTGCGGCAGAGCGCGCCACGGGCGGCGCCAGCGGCGCGCCAGGGAGGGTCCCGCGGGGATGGGGGTGGGGATCGGTGAGGCGGTGCTGCCCCAGGAGGGTCGAGATCTCTGGGGGGCCTCTGCTCGTTCCCGGCGTCGGAGCCGCCATGCCCTCCCTGCAGCGGGGGGGGGGGCGGGCGGCGGGCGCGGGAGGCGGAGGAGGACGAGCGAGCGAGCGCCGATGCCTGCCCGTGCGCGACGAAGGCAACCGCAGCGGTGTATATCGCGCGTGCACGAGGCAACACCTGGGTGGGCTCTAAGTCCCCCCAGGGAGACCCCTGAGGTGGTCGGAGGTGGAGCCACGTCGTCTGTCAAATGCCGACGTCTACATGTAGGATGGTGCTTGAGAAGATCCCTGAGACCCCCTCAACGATACAGCGCCCGGGGAGATGATCAACACATTCTGGCCACAAGCCCGAAACCAAATATCCTAGAACCTTTTACCCACGCGCGTGCTGACGACGGACGGAGCAGACTGAGCCAGAGAGGAGGGCCAGGAAGAGCGAAGAGGAGGGCGGCAAAGGAGGAGTGCTGGCAGCAGGGCATCAGTACAACGACGGCTTGCATCATGAACTGCATCGAGAGCTGTGCATTGGGACCCGTGGTCCAGTCGGACCTAGGACAGACTTACATCTTTTGAGAGCATGGGGCCCTCCGTCGGCCAACGCACACAGAACATCCAAGGGTACCCGCCCCAGGATACACAGGAACATCAAACCAACACGAAAAACGCTAGGGGAGGAGGGAGGAGGGAGGAGGGAGGAGGGAGGAGGGAGAGGGTTGGAGCGGACAAGGAGCTGCACCGGGAGCTGCAGCGGGAGCTGCAATGATCATACCTGGTGCCCCAGCCGATGGGGTGGTTTGATCAGCGCTGCGCCAAGATGTGCAAGAGAGGCCGCAACCCGTGTCTGTTTTGCCAGGCCAGCTCCGTCCATTGGGCCCCGCCAGCAAGGGACCGCCGCCTAACGACAAGAGCCTGGCTCGGTAACGCACTCTCGCATCGCTGGCGGCGAGGAGCGGGCAGATAGGAAGACGCCAACTATACGTCTACGTCGGTCCAGACCTGGCCAGGGTGTGTGCACAGCCGAGGCACGGCCACAACGACATCTGTCAAGAGCACGGGCACCTTCGCGAAGACCCACGGCACCATGACACCGCAAACGAGGCACACGCCAAGGAGAAGAGCCCGAGCACCAACGCTGAGGCTGCTCCTGAGCCTGGATGCCAGCTACAACCGACCCGTGTTATAATGACGCACGATCTCGGGGTGCAAGGGCCTTGGAGGGCCATGATGTGTCAACGCTTCTCGTGCGGGGCGCGACCACCGAAAGTGGCCAAGGATGGACCGAGGAGGCAAGGATGCAAAGGGTACCCTTGGGAAGGCTGCCCATCCTCAACCACTGTGCGCGTCGGCCGCACAAGCGTATGGTCGGCGCCCCCCCGAGCGGAGAGGCGGCAGGGAAGGCGGCGAGCGTCGCACGGACGCGGCGGGTGCTCGCACGGGGGGGCCCGCCGTGCGGAGCTCCCGGCAGGGCGGGAGGCAGCACTAGAATACAGGGCGGGGGCATGGCGCCCCAGCAAGACGCGCGGAGCCCGTACAGTCAGAGGAGTCAGAGGAGCCCGTGCGTGCAAGGTGGACGACGAGTCAGAGGAGGAGGGCGGTGACGACGACAAAAGGAGTCGAACGGGGGAGGCTTTCGGGCGCACGGGGCCCCTGCTGACAAAAGATCACGGCTGCGATGACGAGGCCGAGGAGAAGGACGACGACGAGGGGGAGCCTCTTCCTCGGGCCATTTGTGGGCTCCCACTCCAGGAAACTTTCAGGGGCCTCCAGGGAAGGATGCGAGGCCAATTGTTATACACCACCACCGCCCGCAACAGCAATTTACCGCCAAAAGGGTTAGGGGCAGGGTCATGCCAGACGACGCTGCCGGCTACGGCGAAAAGGAGCGCGGCGCAGCTCGCAGGCGCCGTAGCATGGGGAGTTTCTGGAGCAGAAACAGCACTTCTTGGTGGTGGTGTATAAAAATCGCTCCTCTTGGCAACCAACATTTTATACACCACCACCGCGCGTGCTTTGATGAATCCTGCGTCGGTCCTTAAGAGAGAGGGGGCAGCCCGTTTGCCGTTGGCGGCGGGGGGGGGGCTGCGGGCTTTTCAGAGCAAAACTGCACCAAATCGCATCGTATATCATTCTCGATCTTGGTGGTGGTGGTCATATACTGTGCTCGGAAAGGACCTCCGGAGACGTCTGGAGACCGCTGGCGGGCGTGACGACAAGGAGCGGCAGCGAATGGTCCCGGTTGCGCACTGCCTGCCAAGTCTGAGTGGTTCTACAGGCGCCTCGACAAGCCCGGACAAAGCACGCGGAGCTTCCAACAATGGGGGAATCATGATGAGCACAGTCGGACTTGACTGGACAGGATACGCGAAAGGACGCAAGACCCTTCCGAGGGCCACATCGCCATAGGAGTGTAAGAAGGCACATGTCGCGAAGCACAGGACACAAGGGTACCCTTGAGCTGGCAGGGTCGACCTACTAATCCGGGCCGACTGTAGTTAAGAGAAGAGGACGGCAAGGACCACCGGGGGAAAACGAAAGGGAGGGGAGCCGCGAACGGTGGGCGTTAGCAGATCAGCTGTTGCAAGCAGGTGGTTTTGTAGGCGCCTCGAGGCATTTGACGTAACTTCGCATCGAGGAATGTGCCATGCTATGCGGCAAGAACTAGCTGCACGCAGCAACTCGGGGTACCCCCACTGAACCCCTTGCCTTCCTTTCCCCACCCCCTCTCAACTCTGAGCCCAATCGGCGTCTAAGCCCTTTCACGAAACGGGATCAATTCCAGCACGGCGGTGGGAATTGAGCCCGTGCAGCGGTCAGCCCGAGTGCGAGGTCTTACAGGATGATGCGGCCCACGCTGTCACCCGCTAAGTGGGGTCGACGCTGGGTCCGATCGGCGGCTGCAGGTGCTCGGACGCCGGCTGGGCTGAGAAGGGAACCCTGAGGCTTCACACCCTCCGGAAGCGAAAGGAGGCAGAGGCTGAGGAGCAAGCGCGGACCCAGTTAAAGGTAGGGCCCGCCGTCCCGGCGGCATCAAAAAGGCTCCCCGGTGCGCGGCGGCAAATTCTGCGGCCCGAAGCCGAGGCAGAGTGCCTCTTTGCATTTACAGCTCTAGCGAGGCCTGAGGGTGGCCAACGGGTGAAATGCCAGGGACTCGGCCTGCGCCGAGGGCACCCACACACGACCACCATCCCTGGGCCATCCTGGGCCCTGGTGTAGCGCAGACGCCCGTATGGCCGAGGCCGATAGGGGGTCAGCACACTTTCCTTGGGCTCCAGGTAGGTCCTGGACAGAAGCGGTGACTGCTTGTGGGCCGCGGCGAAGCACAACGGTGCCCTTGGTGCACGCGGAGCGTGAACGGCGGCACCGCCCCAGCACACTTTGCACGGGCTCAGCCACGGGGGCCTGCAGCTAGACACGGGACCCCGCTCATGGCTTCTGCGGCCGCGCGTCCTCGGTCGCCTCTGGAGGTGGCGACCATTACACACTCCCCATACAGGGGACCTCCCAACTCGCGGGGAGTCGCGCCGAAAGCTGCCGCCGACATGATCAATGACTTGCGCCCTCCCTGTCGCACTTCTGCTCAGCCCAAAGCAGGTTCGAGGTGCCGGGCAAGGGTGGCAGACTCTAGACGCTCATCTGACACAACAGACACATATCGCGGAAGCATTCGTAACTATGTGGGCGCCTGGCCGAACTGACGATCCCGGATGTGAAATTGAAACGGCCACGCCCACTGCTTCCGTGCTAAGCCCGCAGATAAATCCCCTTTCCCTTCCAGTTGTTACTTGCTTCTGTTCGTCCTCCGCATGCTGCTCATCCTCCTGCTGGCTTCCTTCTCAGTGGCCAGGGAACATGTACAAGAAAACGCTGCGTCCTCCCCTTGGCCAACGAGGACGAGGACGCCGATCAGCGCTCAAGGGCACTGGCACTAAGGAGCGGGAGAGAAGAGGCAATGAGTACTCAACGAATTTCGAAATCCCACCAGCCCTTCAGGGCGTGAGTGGTCTGGGGCGTTCCCTCCTCCAACCCCCTTTCTTCCTCGGGAGGGTTTCACCACTCCACCTACCCTCTCCCCCTGGACCTGGACGGGGCCTTCCGCGAGGGGTTGGAGCGTCCAAGATTGCCTCGGAGAGGAAGCCAACACCATTGATGCTGCGACTGCAGGTTTTGGCAACACGTGCAGTCAACCCGTATACTGAGAACACACGATAAGGATGCAAGGGCCTTGGAAGGCCATGCCCACACTTTGCGAGCGGGGAGCGGCCAGCGGAAAGGGCCAGGGATGGGCCGAAGGGGAAGGACGCAAGGGCACCCTTGGAAACATTCGCATGCTTGCTATGCGGGTTGACTGTGAGCCTCCTGGGGGAGGCATCACTAATTAGGGAGCTCCCCTCCTTGGATCGATCTTCGTCAAGATGACCCCCAAGGCTCCCAAGGGCGCTCCAAGACGGCCCCAAGAGGTGCCCAGGAGGCCCCAAGAGGCTCCCAAGATCCCCAATCCTCCAAGAGGCTCCCAAGATGCCCCCCAGAGGCCCCAAGATGCCCCCCAGAGGCACCCAAGACGCCTGAAGAGGCTTCGGCGAGAAGGCACAGCTCAATGATGTTACAAGGTTTTGGCCACATATTGTTCTTGTTCCTGGGGGGTGGGCCTGATATATATATATATATATATATATATATATATATATACATATGTATATATGTATATATATGTGTATATATATTACGGCCCCTCCTTTGATAGATCTCCTCCAAGGTGGCCCCACGAGGGCCCCCGAGCCCCAAGAGGCCTCCCGAAGGCACCCAAGACGTCCCAAGAGGCTTCGGGGAGAAGCCCACTGATGGTACTACGGTTTTGGCCACATGTTGGCCTCCTGGGTGGGGCCTACGTAAGGAGCCCCATCCTTTGATCGATCTCCTTCAAGATGGCCCCAAGGTGGCCCCCGAGGCTCCCAAGGGTGCCCCAAGAGGGCTCCAAAAGGTGCCCCCCACGAGGCCCCCACGATGCCCCCAAGATGCCGCCAAAAGGCCCCCCAAAGACCCCCAAAATGTTCCTGGAGGCCCCCCAAAGGCACCCAAGACGCCTCAAGATGCCCCCGGGAGTGCAAAAGAGACCCCCAATACGTACACCCCAAGAGGACTACAAGAAACTGTCGAAAAAGACCCAACGAGACTCCGAGGGGCATCGAAGCGGTATCTGGCCGTTCTGCTCCTCCTCCTCCTCCTCCTCCTCCTCCTCCTCATCATCATCATCATCATCATCCGCTTGTTCCTCCTCCATCCTCCTCCCCCCTCCCCCCCTGGTCTCCCTACTCCTCCTCCTCTTCCTCCTCCTCTTCCTCCTCTTCCTGCTCCATCGTCCCTCTCTGGGGGCACGACGTCTTACCCAACCCTTTATTCCGCAACATTCTCCTCCGCATGACCAGGGCACCTCGTCTGGGCATCGTCTCTGTATGAGCTAGCTGGTGAGGTTACGCGACGTGTCTAGAAGTTCGATCCAGCGGCTGGTGAATGTGAGCTTGACGTCAACCGCACGCTGCAACGACAGCAGCGTGGACCCAAACTTGGAAACTCTGGTCATGAGAGCTCTGGGAGAAACGCATTGACAAACCGAAACCAACAAGTCCTTCAGCTCCGTGGAACTCGTTTTCCCTCTGCTGCTGCTGCTTCTGATGTTGCTCCTCCTTCCCTTGGACCTTACCCTCAATCTCCTTCTCGTCCCCCTGGTCTTCTTATGCTTTTCATGCTGCTATTCCTCCTTCACTCCGTGGTCTTCCCCATCCTGGTCGTCCGCCAACTGCGCTCCTCCTCCTCCTCCTCCTCCTCCTCCTCCTCCTCCTCCTCCTGCTCATCCTCCTCCTCCTCCTCCTCCTCCTGCCCTCCTCCTCCTTCTCCTCCTCATTCCTCATCCTACCCGCTTCCTCTTCCTGCTCCTCGCACTGATCTTCCAGCTCCTACATGCTCCTTGTTCTACTCGACCTCCCTGGGTTTCTGCCCCCACCAATCAACCTTTAATTCTGCCGTCAATTGGCACTGGAGGAGGCAGAGGACCCCCCTGCGCTTCCTCGGCCAACGAAAAAGGCCGC